ATTATATTTTATTTTTTTTCAAATATAAAAATACAATAATTACACTCATAATCACTTCCTCTAAAAGCCACAAATTACAAAATCTATTTTTAAAATTTGAAATAAGAAAGATAATTACTTATTTTCACACACACACGAAAGAGGATAATTACTTAAATTGGCTATAAAAAAGATAATTATTACCTTATCAGTACTCCTGAGAAAGAAAAATAAAAAATCCAAGTAAAGGAGAGAAAGGATGAGGAAAAGAAAAACAAAAACAAAAGCTTTCTGAGCAAATACGAGAACCAACCTCAGCAATAGGTGTTAGTTACTTGGGAATTTGTTTTCTCTCGTTTTCTCGGAGGAAAGAGAATGCCTGAAAGTTCACGGCGTCGCCGGTGAAAAACGGATCGATCTGTGCCGTCACCGATCTGCACTGTCCAGTCTCTCGCTCCTCAAAGACAAGAGCAATAAATGCAATTAGATCCAAGCGCCAGCACATGACATTATTTCTCCTCACTGTAATTCGCATTTAAGCTCGGTTTTTGTCTTCAATTTCGAGATCTTAATCGAGCTTTTACTCTCTGCTTTGAAGGTGCTTTGACTTGGAATTTTGGTAAGTCGAGCTCTGGTGTGTAGTGGTACTTAAGTGATGGATTTTGCGCTCCAATTTGAGCTCGAAGGGAAGTGTAGCTGTTAATGGAGGTTGAATTTCGGTTGAGTTAGGGTTTCTGTGATGGTGTCGTCACTGGTAAATTGATGAAGTCTTAGGGTTTCAGCTGGTGGTACATGATAAGGATCGAAGTTTGATTCTTCTTTCGCCATTGCTGCCGAGTGTTTGATTTATTGTGGGTATAATTGGTGTGGATTTCTTGGAATTTGAACTCGGAAAGGCAGCAGTAGAAGGTTGGTCTCGTTGAGACGAAGGAATTCAAGTCATTTTGAAGCTGTAGCTGAGAGGCAAATTTGGGTTATTGGATTGGAGAGAGTATATATTTATTTTTATACAGATATGAAGACGTTATGGTGATCAATTAGGCGGTGAGGATGCCTCCTTCTCCAGCGTTGAGATGCTCTTCGGGGAGGGAGTTAATGGGAGAAAACCACAAGCGAGGGCGCAGTTTTGAAAGCGGGATTCTTTTCAGAGACAAAGATGACGATCTTACTTTGTTCAACGAAATGCAGACCAAAGAAAGGGAAAATTTCTTGCTTCAGTCAACGGATGACTTTGAACACACATTTTGTAATTTTCCATCTGTCTTCACCTTCAGTAATTTGGGTTTATTAGTTGCAAATTAGGGAATTCGTCTGCTACTGTGACTAATATTACTGTGTCATTGATTTTGACTAAGTATTCCTTCTTTTTTTTTCTTTTTAACAGCTACAAAGTTGAGTCACTTCTCAGATTTCAAGCTAGGAATCTCTATCCCTGCTCGAGGAGAGAGTAGTGAACTGTTAAATGCAGATGAGGAGAAAAATGATTATGATTGGTGGGTAAATTTTCTTCTTTACATCTTATTTAGCATTTTGGACCGGTCATTTATTTTTCTTTATATCTTCAGCATTTTGCTTTGAATTCACTGACACTTGCTGGCCAAACTATTCTGATCTCAACTAAACAGAAATGGGTTATCTGCTCATAAAATGAAGTTGCTAATTTTTCTTTTATTGGAATAATATGCATTCATCTCAAAAACAAGTTAGATATTTAGTCACAAATTCGAATGCATGAGTCATTCATTAGTCCAATAATTTATTGAGCCAACGCAAGCAATTATCATTTCGTTATGATTTTGCATTTTAACTACAGTATCATGTTTTTTAGTCATTATGTGTACTTTCCAAATTTGTACTAATGATGGTGTCTGGTATTTTGATTTTGAAGGTTGTTAACTCCCCCTGAGACTCCACTTTTTCACTCGTTGGATGATGAGCCACAATCTGGTAACATTCCACCCAGGGGTAGACCTCGCAGTCAGCCTATTTCCATATCAAGATCAACAGTAGGTTATCATATCAGTTTTATCAAATAAAATGATTGTTGCTAATAATCTTCTAAAGGTTTCTTTTACAATATATATCCAAATGTTAATCTTATATCTTCTTAAAAATGCTCATCAATATGCAGATGGACAAGAGTTATAGAAGCAGTAGGGGCAGTCCAAGTCCAAATCGTTTAAGCTCATCCCCTCAGTCTGTGAACAGCACATTCCAGTCAAGGGGTAGGCCATCATCAGCACCCCGCACCAGTCCATCCCCTAGTGTACGGTCTGCTACTCCAACCCGTACCAGTCCATCCCCTAGTGTACGATCTGCTACTCCAACCGGTACCAGTCCATCTCCTAGTGTACGTTCTGCTACTCCAACCCGTACCAGTCCATCCCCTAGTGTTCGGTCTGCTACTCCAACAAGGAGACCATCTACCCCACCTAGTAAGACCTCCACTTCTGCTCCAAGGTCTTCTACACCAAATTCTCGGAGGATGAGCACAGGTGCGACTGCATCAGGGTTGAGAGGAACTTCTCCTCTAAGGACAACTCGAGGGAACTCTGCATCACCAAAAATTAGAGCATGGCAATCAAACATCCCTGGATTCTCCTTAGATGCACCGCCTAATCTCCGTACTTCTCTGGCTGATAGACCGGCATCATATGTGAGGGGTTCCTCTCCAGCTTCTAGAAATGGCCGGGGCAGGCAATCAATGTCTCCAACTGCCTCTAGAAGTGTAAGTTCATCACAAGGCCATGACCAGGAACAGTTTAGTTTGCATAGTAAAGGTTCTGTTGTGTCATCTGGTGATGATGACACAGAATCTGTACAGTCTGTTTCTCTTGCTGGCTCAAACTTCTCAACACCAAGGCGGGTTAGTGCATTCCCAAATAACAGGGGTCCAACCTTCAATAAGAAATCTGCCAGAGTGTTATCCCCAGGCTCTGCTCCAAAACGATCCTTCGATTCTGCCCTTCGTCAAATGGTATCTTATTATTACTTTTATTTTATCATATGCATTAGTTTGATTATTTTGGTCATTTAAAAACTATTAGGATTTAATTTTTAATTTGGTCACACCATGTATTGCTTGATATTTGGATGCCTTTTTTGCTATTTTTTTGCCCTTTAACCCTGTATGCCAACCTTTCCCTGAGAGAAAGGGGAAAGATAAAGAACTGTTTATCTTCTGCTCCCATTTAAGTTATACATGGATAAGATCAAAATCCAGGGTGATAAATAAATAAGAAAGAAGGTTAATTAAGTACTTAACTGCATATTTTCTTTTCAATTAATGGTAGCATTCTATTTCTGATTTTTATTTTATATGTTTTAAAATGTGGTTTGCTTTTGAACTCAAAAGAACATTGACAAAGATCCATATTTCTTACTGAATATAATACCATGTTGGCCGTAAGAATTTCTGTTATTCTTAAGTGTGCATTCATCACAAATTCTGGAAGAAATATGTTATAACCAACCATAAAATACAAATTGTTAATCTGGAATGCTGCATGTGCTTATAGTTTGAAAATCTCTTTTTGATATTGTTATAGCTATGCCTTACAGTTTTAGCAGAATGCAGTCAAATCTCTTGTTGGTATGGTTATGGTTGTACGTTACAGTAGTAATGCAGTGCAGTTTGTTAGTTAATAATAAAAGTTGTCCATCCAAAGAAGGAAAAAAATCAAACCTTTGCATGTCAATGTAGGATTCATTTGAGAACTTAACCATGTTTACTTGCCTTAGTTTACTTGCTTGCAAATTGATATGCATTTATGTGAACTCATTTAGAAGTTTTAATGCATGTATGTTTATCTACATTTCTGTAAATTGTCACGAAGTCAACATTTGGATGCAGGATCATCGAAAGAGTCCACCAAATATGTTCAGACCTCTATTATCTAGTGTTCCCAGTACCACTTTCTATGCTGGAAAAGGAAGTGCTGCACATCGATCTATGATATCAAGGAACTCATCTGTTACCACTAGCAGTAATGCAAGCTCTGACCAAGGTACAAGTTTTCTACTTGATACTGAAGCTGACCAGCACCAGGATGATATGGTGAGTGAATGTGGAAGGCAACCTTCTGCGGATGTTCAAGAAGAGGTTTTTGTCTTTGATAAGGTTGATGCTTTAAGTCAAGATGCTGGACATGAAGGGCAAGATAGCTCACATGATATTCATGTTGATGACTTTGATGGAGACCCTGAGTACTCTGAAGAGTTCAGCCACCACAGTATTGATGTTGAAATGGGTTCAAGTTCTGGTGCTTTATGTGACAAGGGTGATCTGTCAGAAGTTGACAGTCTTGACAATATTAAAATTTGTTCCAGATGCAGTTGTCGATATCGTTTCAGTGAACCAGTGGAAGGGGACATTGGGCTTTGCCAAAATTGTAGTAGGCAAAATGATATCCTACCTGTCACCCACCCTGAGACAGCAATATTGGCTACGGAGAACTGTTCAGTTTTGTCCATTAAGCTTTCTGAAGAAAGCAAATCATTCTGTGAACTAGAACCTTCAAGTGCTGTTGCTGATTTGCCATTGCAAGTTACTGATATTGCCAAGCCTCGGGTTTCTCAAAATGAGGAGGATGTTAAGCAAAATGAAAATTATGCACTAGAAAATCCTCTAGCAAGGTCTCTGGTGGAGGGACGTGAACCGAGGATTAGTTACTCCTCACCTGATAGGGACACTGGAGCTCAGCAGTTGCAGCCATGTAATAACCCTCTAGAGTCCAAGGGAGATTATTCCTTACTTGATAGGGACACCAGAGGTCAGCAGTTCCAGCTTTGTAATAACCCTTCAGAATCCAAGGTTAACCCTTCAGAAGTTGCCGGCATACCAATGCTATTAAAAAGATCAAGTAACAGCAAGGGACCTGTTATTCAAACTAGGACCTTCACTGCCTCTTCCTTACCTTACGAAGATCTGTCTTACACAAGAGATAGTTCAAGCAGTTGGAGAAGCTCTATTGGATATGGAAGTGCTTCTGCATCATCCTCTGTGGACTACAGCTCATCTAGGCAAACAGAGACTCGTGTGCAACGGCAGTTAAGTGGGAAAAAATCTGATATGGAGAATTGTAGAAGTGATATCAATGCAAAACCTCCAAGCTTTGGATCATCTATATCTCGAAGTTCAAGCAATGCTCACCAAGCTTCAGGTTCTGCAGCAAGTATACGTGAAGAATTTTTTGAGTTAAACAGCAGTTTGAAAACTGATGATGTAGAGGAAACTCCTGCAGCTTCTGAAGGAAAAGTGGTAGCTTCACTAAATATAGAAGCAGATGTCACTGATTCCTCTTCCTCTGGCGCAGCGGTTCTGAAGGAAGTTGTTTTTCAATGCAATGAAAGTAGTAGAACAGCAGATCCTCCAACCTCAGAGTTGTTGAGCAATGTACTAAATGTTCAGTTGGACAATTTAGCAGTATCACTTCCTAACTATAAAGACCAAGTTCCATATGAAGATGGACAAGAAATTCCAAACAATGTTGAGAGTGAGTCAGGTGTTGAAACCTCAGCTGTCGTTCGAGACTCTTCCATTAAAGAACTTGATAAGCTGAATGCTACTCTTGATGGCATGGATGTTGCAGAGGTTCCTGGTAATAGCTCTTTGGCTATGATATCAGAAATAGAAATTGTGAATCATTGTCACAGTTCTCCTGGTTCAGAAATTGAAAGTGTCTCTCCAAAGTTGGAGGGAAACAAAGATGAACTTGTGGAGCAGTCAGTTCCCACCCCTTTAGAGGTGGATGTTACAGCTTCTGTTAAGGAGCCTAACACCCCAGATAACACAGAGAGCCTTTTAGGTATGTTTTTGGCATTTGATTTTGATCTTTCATAATTTATCTTGAGCTCCATCCATTAAAAGTTAAAATTAATTGCCATCATTCCTGATAATTTTAGTGTGTTGGCTGCCATTGTCATTTTCTCTATTTTTTGAACAAATTAAGATGCAAAAATTTCAACTTCTTTCCTAAACCCACCTTCTTTCTGAACATGGAAAATTTAGGGGAACAGGGTAAAGTACAACATCAATGTCCTGAGTTGAACTTAGGACTTGTAGGTCACCAAGCTCTCAGGCTTGGGACATGAACTATTGGGGCACCAGCCAGTGGTTGCATTCGCAAATCAACTTTGTATTCAGTGTCAACAAAGCTTATTCTTTAATCAGTTTATTGATATTTTCCAGTATTTATAATACTAACTGTGGCTTAGCTGCAAATTGGCAAGCTTTTTTTTTTTCTTCTCAGTTTTACATGTTTTGCTTTTCTTGTGACAAATTCGTTGCAATTGTTCTCAGAATTGTGGATTCTTTTCATTTGACCACCCAAGATTGACATAGCTTTTCTTGAGAATGAGAGTTCTTTTCTCAGAATTATAATGGATCCTAGTTATGGAGATTTAAAAGATAAATAGTTTATAAAAAGCAATACTCACCACTCAATGCATTACACAATTATAATTGATGGTATACATGGAGACTTCAGAGGGTACATCCATTACCATTTATGAAAGCTATTTACATTTTCTTTGATTTTTTGAAGTTGGAACTTTTAATTATATTTTTCTCCTATTATTCATTGCACATGACTTTCTCCACAACTCCATGGCCTTCTTTACCAAAGAGAATGGTTTTCCTTCGAATTAGTTTCTTTGCAAATATGGCATCTTCTACATGTTGGAAATATGATTAGGTGATTCCATTGATTGAGTTGTATATCTTTCATCATGTAATTGGTTCCATTTGGCAGCATCTTAACCATAGATGCATTGCCAAACCCATGAAAATTCAGATCTATGATGATTTTCTTCCTTCTTTTTTTTTTTTTTTTTTGGGTAATTAAAGAAAATTTACTCTTAAGTGCTGCTGAATTACAAGATGAAATGTTAATACTTTCTGATTCATAGAATGCATGATTAACAACTATAATTTCTAATTCTTGACACGCTGAAATTTAAATAATTTGTTGCGAAAAGTATGCATTTTCTGCTAAGGTTTTTGTTCTGGTTAGTAATGGTCAGTTATTGCTTAGTTCTCTAATGAGATTTTTTCTTTTAATGTTTGTAGAAGAGGAATCAACTATCTCGGTAGAATGTCAGGGAGGGAACAAGACAAAAAGCCTGAGTCTTGAAGAAGCAACAGATACAATACTTTTCTGCAGTTCCATTGTCCATGATCTTGCCTACCAGGCTGCAACAATAGCTATTGAAAAGGAATGTTCGGTGCCATTGGAAGATTCCAAACCAACAGTTATGGTCTTTGAAAAACCCAATATGGACAGGAAGGACACACGTGGGAGGACACCAGGAAGACGCACTTCAAAGTCCCTAAAGGCCAGACAGAAAAAGGTAGAAACTGATAAGAAATCCCCATCTACCAAAACTGAGAACGATGAGAATGCCATTGAATATTCTTCAGTTCATATTGTCGGGCTTCCCAATAAGGAAGACAGCACAAAGCCTCCAAAGCTGGAATCCAAGTGCAATTGCTCAATAATGTGATACTTCTTCCATTCACCCCCATGCACGGTGTCTGCTCCACCAGCCACCATGTGACTTGGCTAATCCCTCCTACCTTCACGTAGAAAGAGCAGTGAGTGCTTTTTATCTTATTAGTTTTGGTGTTTGAAGCCTGTTTGGATTTGTTACCAATTATTTTCCTTTACGACCAATTTATTTGTAAGAAAAGGCCACCTGATGCTGGGTGACATATAATTGTAAAGTTTTAATTATCTTGAGTAGGCTAATTTTAGTGAAAAAGGCAGTGGAGATTGGTGCTTGCTCCATTGCCGCGATTCTTGTTAGTTGTTAATTCATTGCTGGTTCTCCATTGGAGATAAGTGTGGTTGAAATCCCCAATTCATTCTTAATTGTCGTGATTGAAAATATAGTTTTGATTTGTTGCATTCTTTTTCAATATAGGTAATATTTCAATTTTTCCTCTGTATCATTCAATTTTATTGGATGTCTTTGAAGGAACAACCATTGGATGTCTCCAAAGGAATAACCACGTCTTTCTAACAGGGTGTGCATCATTTTTCTGTTCTTAATTTTCTCTAAATAATTTTTTATTAAAAAAATTTATATTAGTCAGATATTATTAAAAGAGTAAATAATAATAATTCATGCATCGAGAAAAGAGTTTATCATAATTTCATAATTATAAAAGAGTTTATCATAATTTCATAATTATAAAAGAGTTTATCATAATTTCATAATAATAAATTTTGGCTATTGTGGTCTCAATTTGACTGAAAAAGAAATTTTAGTGTGATTTATATGGTTACTGTATAAATTTTTTACTCATACTATTAGTGTGATTTGTGTGATCACTATATGAGATTTTCATTCACACCATTGGGTTTGATCTCCTTTGTCCCTTTCTCCTGCCCTTTACTCCCAATTCCCTTTGTATATATAAAAAAAAATTGACTGGAAAAGAATTTATTCATCAAAAGTGAAAATCATAATTATAAATGGTAGGATTTTATTGTAAGAAAAATATTAGGTCATAATCATTTTTCAAACCCTTTTATTCCCCTAAGCAAAATAAACAAAAATGAAATAGAAATAAAAGAAGAAAATTGAAGATTTTTGAAAAACCAAAGGCAAAGGCCGTTGGTTGTTCAACGCAAGGAAACAAGGAGAGCGAAGAAGCAGCAAAAATTTCTGATCCATCTTGGCTTTCTAGAATCGGTCTTCCTTAGCCTTCTTTCCTTCATTCCCAAAAAAAGGTGTTTTTTGATTCCATCATTTTCATCATCCTTGAAGGACAATTGTAGTTGTAGTTGTAGAGGTGTATGAAATGGCAGGGTGGTCAATAGACTCAATACCTAAGAATTACCCCCTCATTTCTTCACTTACAGCATTTGCTGTTGCTCAATCTACCAAGTTCCTCGTCTCCTGGTATCTCTCCTTCCCATTTCTGATTTCAGTTTTTCAGTTTTCCAATTTCTTAAATTATATGTGAATCTGGGTTTCCTGAGGGTCTTGACAGGGGCAGATCCAGAATTTTTTTTAGAGGGGACGGAATAATTTTTTATATACTAATTTATAAAATTTTTAAATTTCAGGAGAAGTGAGATAATTTTTTATATACTAATTTACAAAGTTTTTCAAATTTCGGGGGTGACGCCCCCTCGAACCCTCCTCCCTCCGCCACTGGGTCTTGAGCTTTCCTAGATTCGTAGGCACAAAGAAAAACAATGGGATTTCAACCAACTTCTGGGAACTGGTGGAATGTTCTTCCCTCTTGCTATTGCTGTTGGGTTACAAGAAGGCTTTGGAGGAGCACTTTTTGCACCATCACTGATCTTAAGCATGCATAGTATGACCCCTTATTTCAGTACTTTACATCTAATTACCTATCATTTTCTGTTTATCCGCACTTAAAAAGACAAAAATACGTTAATAAATTATGATGATGTTTGTCTTTTACCACTTAAACTGATGTTTTTAAGTGCAGTATAGACTGAAAAACATTATTTTCATTACCTATATTATACAATAAGGATATTCTTCTTTTTTTCAAAATTTTTTTGTAGTTATTTTTGTTTTAAAAGTTCATAATTGAGGCCTTTAATTTAAAGTTTTGAGTTCTTATTTAATCATTGTGAATAATTAATTGGTGCACATGACTAATTAATCCCTTATTTAAATAATTAATGATTAATGATAGTTAAGA